CTGTATGCTGCTTCAGCGTTTCTATCAGATCGCGTTTCTCAGTGCGAGCTCACTATTTTGAGGAGTGGGACAGTGCCCAGAGCTCGCCCCGGATTCCCTGTACCCCGGCCCGCCCCACATGCGGTCAGCCAGTAAGATCTCTCGCTCCACGTTGTATGAGGCAGACCTCATCACCAGTGCAAGCCCAAACTTTCACCCTATTATTAAAATTTCATCATAAAAGTCCTACCTTACACCAGAAAATCAGCTTACCCATAAAAGTACATCAACTGCTTTGTTTAAAATTAAGGCATTAAAAGACTAATTCCCCCCTACAGAATCAGATTTATGTAGAAATTAATTTGAAAAAGATTACATAAAGCAAAACCCTGCGTTCAGGAGCACTGTGGGTGAGGAAGTGAAAAATGTAAACTGTATGCATGTCACTTTGGATAAAAGCAGCTAACAATCAAAGAGGTCATAAATTCAGGAGGATGAATGTGGTTTGGGGCGGCCTGGCAGTGATGTGGTTACCCTGTCACCTCACACCTCTGGGATCTGGGTTTGAGTCTCTGCCAGGATTCCACGTGTGTGGAGTTTGCAGGTTCTCCCCGTGTCATCGTGGGGTTTCCTCCCACAGCCCAAAAACATGCAGAGGCTGAGAGGAGACACCAAATTGTCCAGAGGTGTGAGTGACTGGTGTGTGAGTGAATAGTGTGTGTGTGTTTGTGTGTGACTGGTGTGTGTGAGTGTGTGTGTGACTGGTGTGTGACTGATGTGTGAGTGTGTGTGACTGGTGTGTGTGTGACTGGTGTGTGAGTGAATAGTGTGTGTGTGACGTGTGTGAGTGTGGTGGCATTTGTGAGCTGGTGCTGATAGGTTCAAAGCTGTCTGACGCCAGGCGGGAAATGTCAGGTAACACCTGAGCACCATCAGCAGGAAATACTGTAAAAGCAGGACGTGGTAAATGGCAGCCATCTGCCTGAGACAGCTACGCCTGTATTAAAGTCATGTAAAAGTGGGTAACCTGGGACACTTAAGCTAGGAGATCATCCAAAAGGCAAATTATGGAGATCAGTGATCCTGAGTGAGACGGGATCTTGATTTAATTAGCGACTGGGCTGATAGCTGGCAGATGAAATTTAACACAGATAAATGCAAGGTAATCCATGCAGGGAGCAGAAATATAAAGTACAGATATTTTATGGGTTCCACTGAAATAAAGGTAGCTGATTACGAGAAAGATCTCGGTGTGTATGTTGATGCTTCCATGTCTCATTCTCGCCAGTGTGGGGAAGCAATAAAAAAGGCCAATAGGATGTTGGGTTACATCTCTAGGTGTGTGGAGTTTAAGTCAAGGGAGGTGATGTTACGTTTATATAATTCCTTGGTAAGACCCCACCTAGAATACTGTATGCAGGTTTGGTCACCATACCTCAAGAAGGACATTGCTGCCTTAGAAAAGGTGCAACGAAGGGCTACGAGAATGATTCCTGGTCTTAGAGGAATGTCTTATGAGGAGAGGTTAGCTGAACTGAATCTGTTTAGCTTTGAGCAAAGGAGGCTAAGGGGGGATATGATTCAGGTCTATAAGATTCTAACGGGTCTGGATGCCGTTCAGCCAAATGACTATTTCAATATTAGTTTAAATACTAGAACTCGTGGCCATAAGTGGAAATTAGCGGGAGAACATTTTAAAACAAATTTGAGGAAGCACTTCTTTACACAGCGTGTAGTTAGAGTATGGAATAGTCTTCCTGCTAGTGTAGTGGAAGCTAAAACCCTGGGTTCCTTTAAATCAGAGCTAGATAAGATTTTAACAACTCTGAGCTATTAGTTAAGTTCTCCCCAAACGAGCTTGATGGGCCGAATGGCCTCCTCTCGTTTGTAAATTTCTTTTTAAAAATGTGTGCAGGGACCATAACGGACGCAGACACCTCACAGTACATCGACATGCCGGCAGTGTGCAGATTCACTGGAGGTTGTTTCAGACACGTGCAGTGTGTATCCAGGGAAATGAACCCAAGCAATAAGAAAAGTCCGGCCGCTACAGAGAGCTGTAGGGGCGACTCGATTGGATGATGGAGAGCGTCTCCAACCCAAGTAGCCTGTAATCTGGAAAGAGGGAGGTTCCTGGCCTGCAATGCTGCGGCCGGGACTGAGTGCCCCCAGAAAACAGTACTTACTTTCGGCTCCATCGCTGTGTCCCGGCAGCACTGAGATTTTGATTGCAGACTGGCCCCTCCTGCACTGGCCTGGTGCCTTAACCCCACGACTGGGGCTCAGAGAGCACCGTGAAATCATCTCCCGCTTCTCATGGTGGCTGGATCATCCTCCTCGTGTCAGTCTGTCCTCTCTGCACCCACACGTTTTATTTATTTATCTTTTAACATGAAAGCATGTAATCAAGCTGTCCGAGGGCCTTCATTGTGGCTCTGGAGCACTGTCCCCTCATTCAAATCTCTTGGCTGTGGGTGTGAAGTTTGCATGTTCTGATATTGTGTGCAGTTGGGCTAATGGTGTATTGAATGATCCCATAGTAGTGTGCATGCGCCCTGCGATGGACTGGCATCCCAACCCTGTTGCCCTCAGGCCTTGTGCTGCCCAGGATGGGTTCCAGCTCCCCCCCTCCAGCCCTGCTGGTTCTGTGCTACATGCAGCATGTATGAAACGTCACTGTATGGTTTGAAAGTCCAGGATGCTCTGTGGTGTTAAGCACACCGTTACTCTCCCGCCAGGGTGAGTGAGCCGGGCTCTGGACCTGGGGAGGCCAAAACTGCCAGCTTTGCTCTGTCTTCCAGTCAAAAATCTGCTAAATGGGGGCTAATGGGAAATGCAGCATGCGGGTGCGTGATCCCGTCCACTGCCTGAGGGACAGTGTGCAGTGTCATGACCAGCTGCATGAGGGACAGTGTGCAGTGTCATGACCAGCTGCAGGAGAAAATACAAATAAATGCCAAACCGGCAGACCACGAACGTGAAGACTACAAAGTGGTGACTGAGTGGCGACCGACAGCTGGCCAATCAGCTGGACCACAATTAAACACAGAGGCGGCGGTTTGCACACGTGAGCACAAGGATGTGAGCGATGAGGTGTAGATTCCCCCTGACAGGACATGCGCTCCCGTGACTCAAACGGGAGACACGCTTTAATGATTCACTGCTTCTCTGACCGTCACAGGAGACGGGACTCACCCCTCCGCTGAGAAAACGGAATGTGTTGAAATTCCCTCCCTAAAACAACCCCGGAAATCCTGGGGTTTCCCGGCCAGTAACTTTATGGGTGTAGCTGGAGTGACCCACACAGAGAAGCTGCACTACTGGCCGAAGCCCAGGGGGGGCGCCATTGGCCAGCTCCACCGCCGACGCCCCCGGCCTAGGCCGCTGCCTATGTCGCATACTGGGTTGACTGGACTTGGGGAGGATATCCAGACTCCAGTGATCTCTTCTACAGTGAAGAACATCCAGAAGAGATATTTAATCTCGATGGCTTTCTCCCATGACAGAGAGATACATGTGTGATGCTTTAATGAAGACAGACCTTGTGCCCAACATCTTCTCGACTCTCCATGAAGACCTTTTTCTGTGTAGTTGTGACTTATAATTAGGCTATTAGCATAAGTCGATGGATGAGGCAGAGACTGCTGAGGTGGCTCCTGTCCGCTTTTAGGTTAAGCTCCATGATTTTAACAATGCTGCCACAAACTTAACAGATATAATATATTTAATTGAGCTCGGGGGGGGGTCCTGCTATATCATATGAATAAATGGTCTCATTGCATTTATCTCCTCCCTGCCAAAGCTGGATACAGTGCACAGAAAACTGAGAAATGTCACTTCGAGTGCTAATTGAGGTCTTGGGGCTGTATTGTCCCTCGAAAGTGACACCTCAGCAAATGCGAAGCATCTAATTCCCCGGGACGTCTTTAGCACCTCCCCGGCCGGGGGGGACCGCGCTCGCCCTTCACTTTGTGTATTTCGATGGGGAGCCGTGGCAGTAGTCTGTTGACGTGGCGAGAACTCACAGGTAGCGTCCGAATCCAGGGGCTGCGTCCTGTGAAGGAGGCGGTCAACACAGATGTAGCCTTTGTAGGGCTGCGTTCTTCAAAGGTCAAACAGAAAGTGTTGTCCATTGGGACGGTCAGGCCCTACGGATAATTTACTATTTGTATCGCCAGGTTTTCCCGCCTTTAACCTTGAGTCACGAAGAACCGCTCCTATCGCCTAGTTGGAACACGCCCAATTTACCTCGCCGCAATGAACACTGGGATGTGTTTGGCTGCGAAGGATCGATTGGCTGGATCCCTCGCGACTCGGCAAAAGAAGGACAAGATTTCTATACCGCATTTGAAGAATCCTTCAAAGTGGGAGCCACTGTGATGGATTCAGTGTTCAAATACGGCCTTAGAAGGATGCAGCCCCTGAATTGGGACACAGCCACAGAGAACAGACTGGACCGGAAACCAAATTTCACCACACAGTAAAATCATCGACATACGTTGTCACTTTACTGCTTCAATTAAAACAAAGTGACACGGAGGGGCGCCGTCTTTCCTGCCTCAATTCGAGAGGGAACACCCTTTGTCATTGGTATGGCAGACGTTAGTCACAACGTTCAATGCCGTCAAGAACTCTTACGTAAGTCTCCAGGCTAGATTATTAAAATGATTATTTGTGCTATTCTGAACATGTCTTTAGGACGCGTTTAAATAATTATCAGTCAATTAGCCACAAAAAATCTGAATTGCTCATGAAATACTGATCACAATTCAGCGTCAACTGTAATTTGTACATTCTCCCAAACATCCATCACTTCATTAAGACATTAGCCAAAGACCTGCGATAAATGTATATAATTACATACGTAGATATTATGTAAATTACTTAATTTTGTGCTGCAGTAGCTATTGCATATTGCATGTAGTGCTATTAAAATATGTAAATATGCTCCATTTACGATGAGAAATGTAAATCATTTTTGTCACTAGATGATAACAAGGGGTATTATCATGGCATGCTTGCTCTCCTCTGCAACCGAGATCTTTTTTCTGCTTTTTATCTTTAGGGTATTTCAGCCAATCGTGGCCAGGAAACCAAAAATTGCTTCCCTACAAAATATGTCAGCCGGTCAGAAGCTATTAACCTCAACTCATACCGCCTCTAATACCAAAGGCTGTTCTTGCTGTGGGCTCTGTGGTCATCGCAGCAGATGACACCACAAGTGACATCATTAAGCTGATTCGGATCTGCCGAGCGAGGGAGTCGCGCTTCTCCGGGGGACGTCCCTGGGCGGGTCGGATGGTGGCTGAGTGGCAGAAGCTTGTCGGGGGGGGGGGCCGCTCTTACTGACATTCCAGATGTGGTGGAAACTGCCGGATAGGGAAGTAAACACATCACACTATCTCTGGATGCCGATGCCCTGGGTTATCAGCTTCGGCCCATCTCAGTGAAGAAAGCCAAGACTCACATCTATTCCATATGTGGGGCTCAGAGGGTCTGCAGGTTAGGCTGTGATCAGAAGGTCGTTAGTTCAAATCCCACGGACTCCAGACCCTTAAGCCTCACTTGCCCCAGTGACTGTCTGCCCCTGCTTTCTCAAAAAAGGTGCTTCTTTGGCTAAATAAAATGCAGACCTTAAAGACAACAGTTTTGTGACGAGGGGAGAGTAATAAATTTGTTATAAATGTCACACTGCATGCTATACTGCTCTGACCCATTATTGTTGTCATTAGGTGCTTAATGACACTTAAATGGATATCAAGATATAACCACCAATTCTTGGTGCAAAATGCATTATTTTTCTTTCTTCTTATCTTGGAAAGACCAAGGGCCCGTTTTTCACATGTAGGAAGCCGGCTTTCCCACACCCGCACCGGCCAGCGAATTTCACATCCCTGCTTGATGGGATCCTCGGGGATCAGGACGCGCACAGCAGAAATTTGCCCGTTACAAGGACAAAGCGGTTTTCAACAGGATAAAAATCCCCCAAGACTCTGCTAAACAACGTTGCTTTATAAAAGCCCCACATGCTAAACTGTCTCTTTTGGGTTTTTCAGTTACTTCCGAAAGCGCGTTTAGCAGATGGAGCTCAGACAGGGCTCATTTCTGTGAGCAAATATTACTTCACAGGCATAGAGAAAGGTAACATGAGGAGAGAACACAGATGGCAAAATGTACCATATTACTGTGCCGAACAAAGTTTAATGTAACTTTAATGAAAGGGCCAATGTGAAGCCGTGTAGACCGTAAAGCACAGGTGTGCAATGAAAGGGCCAATGTGAAGCCGTGTAGACCGTAAAGCACAGGTGTGCAATGAAAGGGCCAATGTGAAGCCGTGTAGACCGTAAAGCACAGGTGTGGGAACGCATATGATCCTGACTATTAAGCATCAAACTACTGACAATGAGTGTAAGACAGACATACAGCACTGCACTGTGTTTCATATGGCACTATATCCCAAAATCGATGTTTCCGCTTCCTGAATGTAATCAGTGGTGGTTTAATCCACAAGGAGTGTAGGCAGCCGAAAATGACGCAAAGTGCTCTGTTTGAGGACCAGGAAGCACCTCCGATGTGTGGCGTTTCACCCACCCTCTATGGGGAAGACGTCACCTGACGGAATGCAGGAGGCTGAGCGGGAGGCAGACAGGTGATGGGAATGGATGACAAATACTGGGTGTGGCTGAGAGGTGCTGGATGTGGTTTACAGATTATGAGGTGTGGCTTAGAGGTTTGGGGGCGTGGCTGACAGCTGGTGGGTGTGGCTGATGGGGTACAGGGCGTGGCTGACAGGTGGTGGGTGTGGCTGATGGGGTACAGGGCGTGGCTGACAGCTGGAGGGTGTGGCTGATGGGGTACAGGGCGTGGCTGACAGCTGGAGGGTGTGGCTGATGGGGTACAGGGCGTGGCTGACAGCTGGTGGGTGTGGCTGATGGGGTACAGGGCGTGGCTGACAGCTGGTGGGCGTGGCTGGTGTGGTGATGTGCTGATACCCGTCTGCCTCGCTATACAGCTGTATCTCTGGCTTTGGCCTGGATGCCATCGCGAGTCTCCATCTGTGTATGACACATATCAATCACATATGTGGGGCTATGACACTCTACATAGGAGATTAATAACCTCTGAAACCAGTCTTCATCGTCTGTCCTCTTCCTACAGTTATGCTGTTAGCTGGTACAGAAGTTACCCGATCGTAATTAATAATAAATAAAATAAAATAAATAAAAAGCCTTTATACAAGCAATTTCATTCCTTAAACTGAACAAATATATTGAATGAATATCCAGCTTTTCAAAGAGCGCTATGTTTTATCTGCTGTGTATTCCACGTACTAAGTGTATTTGTGAAACAGCCAATTTACGTTGTCAGTTCACTTCCAGACAACGGCTTCTGTATTCAATCACGCAAAAAAAAAAAAAAACACAGGAATGAACCTGGAGGCTGAGACAGAGATGCAGGTTTTCCACTGCAGGGACGAGCCGAGTTTGCAGCAGTAGATTTCCGTCCGCTATGCGTGTGCGTTCGTGTGTCGGCAGCGCGATACGCTAAGCAGCTAAACAGCTCCGGGGATCGTACAGAGGTTTTTATTGTCCTGCATGTGGACATCAGCTATATCTCAAAACGATAATCTATAGAATCTGGAGACAACATCACTCAGACCAGCAGGAGGTTAACATTTCAAGTGTATAGATGGTCAGAACAGGAGTGAACAGAATTCTACATGTATTTTACAAATCATTTTTTTTTTTTGATAATGTTGTTGCTTTTAGTGACACCCACATCTTGACATAAAAATTATATATATATTTATATTTCTATATATAATATATATTCATCGTATTCTATTAACATTTAATTCTAAGATGAACTGGGTCTGTTACGCAGATTCATACAGGAATAGCCACCCACTTCGTAACGGAAGTCTCGACTCTCAATCGCGATCGACTGGTTACACACACTCAACTAATATTGACAGATTTGTACATCTTTGGAGGGAATTAAGCTCCAAAAAGATCTCGCCCTCCTGGTAATACTCCAGACCTGCCTATGTATAGCTTAATTCCATGAAAACACGTTAGAAAATTCATATACAATCAGCCATCAGGTGAACCAACTAGAGACATTATGTCAACTTTAACCAAAGTTCTAGATTATCTCCCATTACGGAGATAATGATGTTTGGCACATTTTTTTTTCTTTTTTCATAATAGCACAGGCGACTGGGATGCTAGCTGGACAGACGGATGTTATGCAAATATGGATGACAGAGTTCAATTTATTATTTTTTAACACTGTATCGTAAAGAAAAAAAAAAACTTGTTTAAGTGGAAACCCAAAAAAAAACTATTTCAAATATCTACCGTTTATCTACATTTTTAGGCAGTGAAAAAGCACTTTATTGACAAGGAGTGTGGAATGGTGTTCTGTTAACGGTCTGGAACTGCTTAAACGCTTTGCCACAAACATATTCACATTATCAGAAACGAACAATACTGCTAGATACTTCCTTCTTACTGCTGAAACAGACTTTACATGGAAAGGATACACAGGTAAGTCATATGTCTCTTTCCAAAGTGTTTTTTTTTCTTTTACTGTTACTTTAAAGCAATATTTAGAGCCACTGAATAGAGCACAGAGTGGCCTTTGTGTAATATACACAAATATGCACTTGTTTCTTTGTAATGTACATCAAATACTTTACATTTTAAAAAGAGAATTAAAAAAGATGCCTATAAA